TTCCTCCGCTTCCATTACCACATCAGATATGTGCATTGGTGCACATGTGCCGTTTCCGACTGGCTGTAGGAGTCTTGTGTCTTTGTCCTCTCGCCTCCCACAACTTTTTATATCTCACATAAGCATATATAAAAATATTTTCTGAAGTTATAGGTGAGGTGAAATACATGCCAGGGGGGAAAAAAATCAGTGAGGAAATTATAGCTTCCACTAGTACAAAGACACCATGGAGACCCTGTACTCAGGTAGGCTGGGGCAGGAACTGTAGGGAGACATTCTGGACTGCTGTGTGAGTCTACAATACAGTTATTAAAGAGCAAGAACAGTGGATAACATGTAACTACTCGAGCTGGCAGGAGCCCAGAAAGGACTCTGACACTTTTCCAGCAGGAGGCGAAGAAAGTAACACATGTGATATGGGGTGCTACCATAGGACAGCAGCATTTCCAATCATTTGGAGCATTAGAGGGAGAGCAGCATAGGTCTCCAGGGAGCCTCAAGTGACTTTCTCCGTATTATCCCTAGCTTTCCTGCTACAAGAAGATTTCATGGTCTTCCAACACGTGCCTAATAATGAGATTTACAGAGGACTAAATAGTGCAGTTTCCATCTTAAAACCATCGCCTGAACTGATCCGCTGCATTTAAATAAACACCAAGTAGTGGTTTAGAGTATATTACACTGTGGAAAATAGGAGTGCCTGCCTTCAGAAGCTCTCCAACTACCTTCTAAATGAGCCTCACCATCCCCGATACAGTGATCCAGGGAAGAGTAGCTGTGGATTACCATCATAATTTTAAATTCACTGACTCCAAAATAATGGCGCTAATCCTCATTTTAACTGGAAATGAAATTATCTAAGGTTTTATATTGTTAGTGTGTGCACAACTATCAAATGAATGTAGGGACTGGGAAATGTTTGGAATGTATTCTGAGTTTGCTTTTTGTTTTTTTTTTAGATTTTTTTTAAATCATCTGGAAAATCTAGAATTCGTGAGTGCATCTGTAGCATTTTTAAAAGATAAAATTACAGATGATGTTCAAAAATGCTGGGAAGAGATTCTAAATATTTGTCCTTATACCTACACACACTGTACTCCTCACTCCTCATCACAGAAACAGACAGAGACCATCGAAGTAAACCACAACCAGTTAAAAGGCAGGGGTGTGAGCCCAGATGTACCTGATGCATCTACATCACAATTACCACATCTAAGACTCGGGGGTCATAGAAGAAGGAACAGAAAGATTGAAATCCAGAGGAAGACAATGTTTGCTATGAGATTGTGTCTCCTATGAATGTCAGAAGCTGTACCCATGAAATCTCGTCAACATGACCACCTAAACATGACCTAAGCAAGGATGACATCAGCAGACATGCTAACACAGAGGGGGAAAGCTCAGGCAGCCTCAACCTCGGACAAAGAACTCAAGAAACTTGACATCAAAAGAACAAATAATCCAATAAAAATGGGTACAGACCTAAACAGAGAACTCTCAACAGAAGAATCTAAAATGGCTGAAAGACACTTAAGGAAATTCTCAACATCGTTAGCCATCAGAGAAATGCTAATCAAAACAACTCTGAGATTCCTTCTTACACATGTCAGAATGACCACGATCAAAAACACTGATGAAAACTTACACTGGAGAGGATGTGGGGTAAAGGGAACACTCCTGCATTGCTGGTGGGAGTGCAAACTGGTACAGCCCCTTTGGATATCAGTATGGCAATTTCTCAGAAAATTAGGAAACCACCTTCCTCAAGACCCTGCAATACCACTTTTAGGTATATACACCCAAAGGATGCTCAATCATACCACAAGGACATTTGCTCAACTATGTTCATAGCAGCATTGTTTGTAATAGCAAGATCCTGGAAACAATCTAGATGCCACTCAACTGAAAAATGGATAAAGAAAATGTGTTACATTTACACAATAGAGTACTACACAGCAGTAAAAAAAAAATAATAACATCTTGAAATTTGCAGGCAAATGGATGGATCTAGAAAAAAACATATTGAGTGAGGTAACCCAGACCCAGAAAGACAAATAATCATATTAGTATTACTCACTCATAAGTGACTTTTAGACACAAAGCAAAAAAAAAAAAAAAACCCAGCTTTTAATTCACAAACCCAGACAACCTAGACAACAAAGAGGACCCTAAGACATACATGGATCTATAGGAAGGAGAAAAAGACAAGATTTCCTGCATAAATTGGGAGCATGGGGGTCATGGGAAAGAGTAAGCAGGGGAGAGGGAGGAAGGGAGGGGAGTGGAGATAACTGTATAGCTTAATAAAAAAAAGAGATACAGGCAATTAAGAAATGCTGAGAACAGGAGAAACAGTCTTCTCTAGGGAAGAACATTTCAATTAGCTATCAGCAGCAAGTGGTTAGCTCTGAAAATGTATACATACAAGTAACATTATACAGACTGAACAGGTTACATTATGTACTTAGAAATATACATATATATGTACAGATATGAATGTATGTGTGTGAAAGAGATTTATCACATATATGCATAATTACAATTAAAGAAAAAGAGGCCATGAATTTGAAAGATCGTAAAGGAAGCAGGGTAACATGGGAAGGATTTAGAAGGAAGAAAGGGAATGAAATGATGCAATTGTGATCTCAAAAACCTGGGTTGGAGAGATGACTCGGCTAATAAAAAGGCTAGGTCCAAAACCAAAAATAATCTCAAAAACTTGAAAAAATGATCAGAACAATAACTTACAATAGGTTATCTACACACCAAGTTACACTTAAAGAAGTTATATCTGTGATGGTTTTGACGATGGCATGAAACTGTTAATGTGCTCTATAAGGTGATGGCTAGTTTCCACAAAAGACAAAACATGTCTGCCTGGTTGAATGCCTGAGATGACACAAAGTCTAACTGTGGTCACTACTTCCTTATTAGAACATGGGATTTCCAGGAACTGACACGTTTGTGGTATTGTAAAGAAACATTTGAATTCTAACTATATTCTAGATGCAAACCTAGAACATGTAGAGGAAATCTAAAGGCTCCAAAATTCAAAATGTTTTGAATGCTGACATAACACTGGAAAATTCTTCACCTGGTTTCATGGGATGAGCTGCATTGAAAATGCAGGCAATACTAAAAACTGCACAAAATGTCCTTGAGGATGAAGTATAACATATGTTATATGAAACATATTAAGTTCATGTTCAGACATGGACCCATACCTAAAATGTCACAAATACTCCAAAATCTGAAAAGAATCTACAATCAGAAATCCCACGTAGCCTGAGTGCCCACAGGACAAAGGACGCTGAGAAGAGGATTGATAAAACCTAAGATTGTACAAGTGAGGCCAAATTCAAAGCTGACAAAATATTGTCCTTCCGTTTAAAGTTTTACTTTTGATGTCTTTTTACTCTCAGAAGACCTATTTTTCTAGTGACTAACTCTTAAAAGTTGGAATGTGGTTCTAATTGAGAATATTCCCCAGAGGGGTTCCCTTCATGAAACTGACAACCAAAACGCAAAATAGAAGGGGACATTCTCCAGGAAGTCAAGCATTAACATCACAAGGTAGAAGGATGTGACCCAGTTGAGCAGTTAGTGGACTGGCAGCATCAAGGCAAGTCCCAAAGCAAACAGCCCTAGGCTCCGTGAAACCACCTGTACTGGGAAGGGAGGCTTAGAAAGTGAACGGGCTTGCTCAAGAACACATTGTGTGCATCAGTGTGGAATCCAAGTCGAGCAGCAACAGTTGATGCCTGGTCCAGTGTTTTTGTGAACAAGTTCACATGGGGATTCCAGTGTGTGTGTGTGCTCGCGCATTTCAGGGCCTTTATTACTCATCTTTAACTTTTGAAATATTTGGTAAAAAGATTAAATACTCCACTGTAGAAAGTGTCACCTTTGAAGCAGAACAGATTTGAGTTTAAATTTAGCCCTACCTTTTGTTCGTTTTATGTCCTTGGGCCATTTTAGCATATAGGTCTCCAGTTTTCCTAATCTAGAAAGTACTAATTACTTCCTATTAGGATCACTTAAGGGAAGGAATTTAACCATGTGCCCAAATCACCTGGCACATAGCCCAGGTCTTCATGGGTATTTAACAATGGAAATAGACGGGCAACTAAAGCTAACAGAAAGACATGGAATCGGGGCCGAAAACAATACTTTTCTACTCAGACTGGGAATAACTCCTTGAGGAAACGATATAGATTATTCTAAGAAATGCCAATCTGATATTGTTCATGTGTATTATGGAATTTCACCAAAGCAGCAATGAGACACTGGGGCCACTGGGTTGTGGCTCAGGTCCAAATTCCTAACATCCTTGTGGCTTTGGCTAGGGAGCCCAACCTCGGAACTCTGTTCGGACTCTGTGTCCTCATTAGGAAAACAAGGAAAGGCCTAAGCATCTTTGCTTCCTTCCTTTAGGGTTACTCAGGAGATCTTTAATGACCTTCACTGCTAAGTAATGGTTCCCAGTAGGCAACAGAGGGGATTCATGGTCAGTCCCTCAGAAGGGGTTCATGGCCAACTGCTGGAGGGCTTCACAACCAGCCACTGGGGTGTTCATGGCCAGCTGTTGGGGTGGGGGTTCATGGCCAACTGCTCAAGGGGGTTTATTGGCAGCTACTATGGGGGGTTCATGGATAGCCCCTCTCACAGGGTTCATGGCTGGCTTCTGGGAAGGGGTTCACAGCCAGTAGCTAGCAGATATCAGATGAACTTGCTCTCTTTATCATTGTGATAGAAACTCTCGTGGCAGGGGATTAGTTATTTTGGAGATGTCACTTAGCCTGTCTTTGAATTTTCTGTTCTGCGGTTACTTGTGTATGAAGTTGACTGATTTGAAACCATGAAACAGTCTGTTATGATGTGACAGTGTGCTTGCTTCCTTAGCACAAAGACAGGAAGCAGTCAAACTGCAGTGACCCTGATCATGACTTTGGGACACCAACAAGGACCCAGTGATTTCCAGAAGAAAGAAAAGGAAAAGCAACAGGGGAAGCAGTACATTTATTAAGAGGCATGAAAATGCAGGAACTCATAAAGTATTACATTATGAATCAATGTAGTATCATTTACCCAGTGGAAAAAATAGCCAAAAGTCCATGAGCAAACTGTATTGTATAAGTGAGATGCTTACACATTTGATCTCTAATCATTTCCTTCCCCCATCCTCTATTAGTAGCAGCAATTTTTAAATGATGACTGAAAAAGCTGTTACAAATAAACATCACATGGGGAGAAACATTTTAAGAATGCTCTTTTGAAAATGAACCAGTGCAAACTATACAAACTGTGAAGACCGCCGTGAGACTCAGGGCTCATCTTCACAGAAGGAGAAAATAAAAACACTGAACATTTGCTAACTAAGAAATGAAAATGCAAACTACATTTTCATCAGTGAAAAATAATACATGTGGATATTATAAAAAAAAAAAACATTCTTAACCAGTGACTGCAATGATTACATTTACAAATGTTCATTCAAGTACTGATACTCAATAAGCATTCAAATTGTCATCGAACGTGATGTGAGACTGGACAGGCCAGGACAAGGCTAGTAAGAAAAGGGCCATATCAACAGGAGGCAGGCGACCCTTAGAATACTGTTGTTGGTTTCATTTTGGTTTTGACCATAAAGGATCTTTCATAGTCAACGTTTTTTGTTTTTTATCTGCGAGGACCCATGGAACATCTCACAACAGCCAATTAAGAAGTTATTTCTATAAAATGAGTCAACAACACCCAAACAAACATTCGAAAACTCAACTTTAGCTGATGATGATGATAAGGCAAAAATATGTTTTCTTTGGCAAGAAGTTATTAATTCCTTACCAAATGTTGGTTCGTGGGTTGTGTAGACACTGTAAGAACACTTTGGTTATTTACCAAAGGGCTATCTATGGACTGGGCTGAGAGTCAGAAACTTTCCACGGCCAGAACCGCAGCAGAGCGCTACAGCAAAGTCATGCTGGAATCAGCATCGCTTGTGTGATTACCGTCATTAAGAACTCTTCCTTCAAAAAGCTCCTTCCTAATCATGGCCTGAGTCTCAGGCTTTAGCAAAAGTTCCTTGATCTGTTTCACTTTGGACTTCAGCTCCATCCTTTCTCGCTGCAAAGCTTCATTGATTAAGTCTTGGATCCCAACTGGCTTCTTGCCTACGGGGAAAAGATTATATAACACATTTAAAGTACAAATGTCAATGAAATACAAATATGGCACACTGAGTTATCAAAATAAGGCTGAAAAAACCTTTAAAATGTTACCCACGTTTCATAGAAAAGGTTGCATTTTGCCAAAAATATATAATTTACGTGAAACTTAATTTACTGTAAATAAAGATCATGGCATGGTAACAACACACTGCGGACAAACGTAAAACATTGTGAATTCAGTACACTCATGATCGTCTCAACAGCGACAAACTGAACTCAGTACTGGACAGCTGTGTGCAAGTTTTGGCCTCTGATGAAGTAGTCAAATGTTCTAAGCGATGTAAACAAACGGCAGTATTCCAGCGGTGGCCAGTCCTCTCCCTCAGCCTGGCACGCCTTCCCAAAGTGCCCACTCTCCCTTGTGCACGCTTGATGATACATGAACTTGGGATTGCTCTTCTGTGAATTAATTTCTCCTGCCGGCCCCAGCGCCCCATTCTCTTCTGTTGTGTCGCAGCAAGGCCAACGCATCAATCATAAACGAGTTAGGCGATCTCCGGGGCTTGAACAAGACACTTAGATAGCACATCGTAAGTCAGTCTGCGACCTAGCAGAGGGGCAGGGATGCTTTTCACAGAGCAGCGGGAACAGATTCCACTCTCATTTCCTGTTATTATCACTGCCTTTGCCATTCTGATTGGCCTCTTCAGCTTTGGTGGAGTTCCCCTCCCCCAGCTGCTTTTTGTTCTGCGTTTCTTCCAAATACTGCTGGACAGCCTTGAGCACGGCGTTCTCCACCAGCCTCTTACTGAGCCTGACCAGTTCAGCATCCTCAGGCTCCCCACGGTCCTTCTCACCTACATTCCACAAGAGAAGAGAGGTCACTGAGCTCATATCGCCATAGCAACGAGGCCACTGGGGCCCAGCTAGTTCAGCTAGTTAAAAGAGCAAGTGTCCTTCACTCTGGCAAATGGGATCTATAAATTCAACAAGAGTGGGTTGCCTTTTCCTATGACATTTGTCCAAGTATGAGCCTACCTATTGCTGAAGACAGTCCATTAGGCATGCCCTTGCCTGTGGCCTTCCCATTTCTACAAGGCTTTCCTGCTCCTCTCTCGCCCGAGGCCAATTAATGGCTGCCATTCAGCTACTTCTGGCCCACACCTGAGGTCTCAGGCACATGAATTCACCAAGAAGATCTCGATCTGCTGCTCCCTTGCCAATTCTAATTGCCAGGGAATCAAGAGTCCCCTCTTATCTCACGACTTGGGACCACTCATTCTAAAATGCTTGGCATGGAGATTGGCTGTCAATAAGCTCCCAGCACTCACACCAAGGCAAATGCAGTAACCAGTGCCAGTAGCCGTGGTTTAAAATAGGACTGCAAGACCAGCATTCTGTGTTTAGAATTTCATTGCTCTCACTGTAACTCCAGAGGCAGGAAATTCTCCCAAGAAGAGTTAAGACCCTTATGGTAACTTCCCAGATGTCACTGTCTTCTGATCATTCTGCCAACCCGCTAGTGATGATCCAGGTATAAGTAAATATTCACTTTACTGTTGTGTAAAAGAATTACTTCTTCCATGTCCTATTGCTATACATCACCCTGCCACCCATTCAAATCCTCTCTTTATTGGGGAAAGGCAAAGGAGCTTTCGCTAAGTGCACTCCCTCCCTTCATTGATGTAGGTTGGAAAGCAGAGGGATGGTGTTGGAAAAGTCATCACACCGCCAACAGTAAAGACAAGCTCAGTGTGAGACAATCACCCAAGGGCTCATGATGACAAAGCCAGTGCTACACCTGCATGCTGGGGTCTGGGGCAGGAGGATACCATGAGTGTAAGCAGGAAGACAGATGTTATTTTCACCCTCATATATAACAGGGCTTGGAGAACAAAAGAAAAGGTACCATAGGTAAAGCCTGGCCCCAGATGGACTTCAGAGTCCTGTCATTTGTCTACAACACGCATGCGGGACTGCTAAATATCCATCCCCAATGCCGAGGGACAGACATCGCAAAGGAAAGCAAGGATAGGTTAGGATCAACCTAGAGAAATGCCTTAGCAATTGCTTCTCCCTCAAACCTGGCAATATGGCAACAAAGAGCAGAAGTTTAAGCACATGTACAATGCAAAACATGTTCAGAATTAAGTGAGCTTTGATTTGGTGATAATTACAGAGAATCTCTAACCAGATACATCATGATATTGTGTAAAGAAGAAAGCAATCGTTAACTAATACAACTTTTGGTAAAAGTTCAGGTTTTACTAGTAAGTACTAGGCAAGGAAATGTTGCCTAATATTTAAATTATTTGCTCGCAATCTTAAAGCACAGCATTTACCCTGTGCAGATGATATTTCTACACGCATTACATGCAACGATTTGTATAGCGGCTCTTCAAATTGAAAACGGAAAATGAGATGCAAATGAAGAGATGCTATTTAAGTGTCTGTCACAGCCCTAAAAAGGACTTTCGAAATCTCTCACCCAGGCCAGTGACTACTTTTATGGACCATTCTAGAACCCTTGTCGGCTTTCTCACTGGTGAGATAACAAGATTAGATTTAATTAATCAATAACTCATTCTCCAAAATCCCCCTCAGGTCTAATATTATGAAGCTTGTTATTTTTGTCAGTCAAGTGTCTCTGTGGCTTTAAATGTTCAAGTTATTTGAAATACCCTGAGTTTGTGGTATTCCCATACTCAGGACAAAAGTTCAAGGCTAGCATGGTTTACAGAGAAGACCCTGCCTCAACACCTTTCCTGAAGAGAGAAGCTTGAAATATAAAAAGCCTTTCCCTAGAATGCTAATTTCCCTTCTGGCTGTCCTTTTTTTGTTCATGCTTTTACTATTATCCAAGTCAATCAAACTTAAAACATGATTATCTCTGACTTTCCTGCCCTTCATGAGCACACTTAATGGCAGAACACTGTCAATATGTGCTTCACAATCTCTCCTGCCTACAAGGCACCCGACAAAATGCCTCTAGATTAACTTTTCTAAAACGTCCCTTTCAGACTGGGGGTGGTGGCGCACACCTTTTACCCCAGTGCTTAGGAGGCAGAGGCAGGAGGATCTCGGTGAATTTGAGGCCAGTCTGATCTACAGATCGAGCTCCAGGTCAGTCAGGGCTACACAGTGAGACCCTGTCTCAAAAAAAAAAAAAAAAAAAAAAAAAAAGTTAATTTGTTAATGAAAAATAAGATAAAATGTCCCTTTCAGTCTCCATTTACCAGGGAAACAAGCTGGCACTTCAAGATTTCCCAAAATCTGCCTAAACAGCTGCTATTGCCTCAGTTCTGTGATCGAATTCCAACACCCGTAGAAGCTTCCAGATCATTCTCTACTACCAGACGACCCTACCCTCTTCCTTCTAATTAAAATTTTACTTACTCCATGAAATGTTCCTTGCCTTGCTAGGTGGATGGCAAACTGCTTCTAGATTCCAGGGACTCTGCGTATGCAGTGCATCGCCATTCGGCTATTCGGTCATTTATTCAACAAATATGCCTAAAGTTCCTACTATACGCCTATGAAATATAGCCTATATTTTCTCAGCCTATAGAAATACAACAGAGAACAAAACAAAATGAAATCCTATTGGCTATCTTTTTAATTCTTTTATAAAATATGGGCATTCTTTATGAATTCATTCACAAAGGCATAGTCTGATGCCCGGGAAGATGGTCCAGTCGGGAACATGCCTGCATGCGAGCATGGAATCTGAGTTCGGATGGTAGGCACCCACATAAAAAACTGGGCACAGTAGTACCCATCTGTAACCCTGGCACTGGGGAAGCAGAGAAAGGAGGAGCCTGGAGCTCACTGGCCAACTATTCCACCCATTGGTAAACTCCAGATTCACGGAGAAACCTTGTCTCGACATAAGGTTGCAGTATGGCCAAGGAAACAGCTGACATCTATCTCTGGCCTCTCATGCATGCATTCACATATACATGTACACCTGCATGTACACATGCATCCACCTACATGTACATGTACCCCACACACATACACAGGCTTGAGGACAGAAAATGTGGTAAGTCTGTTCCCTTCCTCTGTGCTAACAGATGGCACAGTTTATCCATCATAATAAGAGCTCAATAAATGTTTTTTTTTGGGTTCTGCCTAGTGAATTTTTATTGAAATCCTTGAAAGCAGTAGCAACAGTTATGAATATTATTATCATCCTATATAAATAGCACACCATGGCCAGGAATTTACATGGCCAGAAATTTAAATGCAAAATTAAATCTAAACAAGAGCAAAGAATTTCAGAATAATTCAAATATCTATGTAAAAATCTGCATTAGTTTTACATGATGAACTTGATCAATAAAACAAAATATTTCTCCCAATGATGATCAGAAATTAACAATGCACAATAACAAATTATTTCATTAACCAACCCCAAATAAGCAAATCTTCCAGATCAGACCTGACTCAAGCTTCCCCACATACTTTCCACAAACCCAGTCAGGCTGTTAATATTGTCTCACAGCAGACTGGGCATGGTGCACATGACAAGAATCTTAGCACTTGGGGAGGTCAGGCAGGAGGATGAGAAATGCAAGTCCATCCTGCGCTACACAGGGAGCTTAGGGCCAGACTAGGATACATGCACCCTGTAAACGTTTTCACATATGTTTGCATGCATACACATGTGCGTCCTGGGAAGGCAAAGCTCTATAAGAAGAATGCACTTGTCCAAGAAGCCAGAATCTTCATTCCAGCGAGAACATATAGCTAATTCAATTTAAGAGACATTTTCAGATTAAAGTTATGCTCTATTTTTCCTCTGCTTAGTTCTTGCAGAAGGACAGCAGTCTCTCACCCTAACCTCCCAGATACAGCTCACTCCCAGATGCCTCCTTAACAACAGCAGCTCACCACAGGATGGCAACATACACAACTCTCTTTTAATTCCAGCAAGATACTTACAAAAATATTCCTAACAAAAGCATCAAAATCATGATCAAAAATATCCTTTCTTGGTTTACTGACTCTCATACCTACTTAACAGATTACCATTTACCTTTGATACTGCATTTGTGAAATCTCCCTGACATGTTTAGTGGTAGTGTTTGAGACATGAACTCATCAGATAGCCTAGAATGGCTAGAAAAGACAACAATCCCCGTCTCAACCTTTGAAATGCAGGAATTACAGGCATAACCCACTACACCCAGATACATTATTTCCGTGAAAATCCTGAGTAATATAAAAGTAGTGAAAAATCTTTTAAAACAACACAACACCATCATAGATGGTGGCTCATGCCAATAATCCCAGCACGTGAGAGACCATGACCGGAGGATAAGCCGAAGTCTAGTCTATATTTTATAGTGAGTTTGGACTGCTCTGGACTAGAAAATGAACATATCCAAAAATATCATTCACTCGAGGAGAATAAGTCCATTCAACACGGTATGTCCCGAAAGACACAAAGTTAGGATATTTTTCAGAAAACTTTACGTGAGTAATTAGGAGTAAGCAAGTCAATAAGAGTGTGGCGCCATTTATTCGTGGACTTCACCCATTGCTCTGGCTCTGTTTATATTTACCTGAGAGCTTTGGTACCAATACAAGCCAGTGAAAAGGGTTATTTTTTGTGATCATAAAAAGGAAATAGCTCCTCAGGGGCAGAAAGAAAATTTTAGAACTTCTAGAATAATTTAAAGTGAGTCTTAGTATAGCTCCATTGATCTTAACATGCTAGCTGAGCTGACCCAACAAAAGCTGGGTTGATGTCAAATGAAAGGCTTTAGAGATTGCCACTGCCTACTGACAACATCTAAGTGCCTATTTGTACTGACAGGAATAAATCAATAGACAGCGATTTGATTTTTTAAAA